AAGGCTTCTGGGAACAGATGAAGGGTGAGCCAGAAGAAGGTGAAAAAGCAAAATGATCAGTGAGAGTGTATAGTTAAAAATAAAAGGTGTAAATCTAACAACTATTGAAAACTTTATGTAACTACTGAAATATTTGACATGAAAGCTTAGGCTGGGAATTAAAGGTTTCCTTCCTTTTTCCAGCAACATTTAGTAGGAGGCTGATGACAGCTCAGAACTTCAGCAAGACAGTATCAGAAACAGAAATAATCTCCACTCCTGAAGTCTTTAAACATTTGTGATAGAAAGTACCTGCTTTATTTGCATGACTATAATGTAACTTTTTCACTTTCACAGTTGATATCTTCCACAGTTACATAATGCTTTGAACAGCTTTTAGGTTTACACTGTGTATTTTTAACTTCACATTCTCACTCCTGAGCAGACACCTTACTCGGGGGATGAACCAAACTGCAGCTCTGCAGCGATGCCAACAAACATCAGCCCAGTGAAGCAGCTCGTCTCACAGAGCCATGATTCAGCCACATCCCCAACAGCCTCATGGTTAAAGCACCCATCCAAGCAGCTGGAGGTCTAGAACAATCCAAATCTGAATTTCCTTTTTGTCATACAAGCACTTACTGTGCCCTATTTGCCAGCTTCTGCACACCCTAACCCTAACCTGGACATCCCAGCGTCTGTGGGACACACCTGGATGAGGCAGGGATGCCATGGGGCAGTGGCTTTGGCACAGTCCAGGTTTAGTGCTATCTTCCTGATTTCATTCTGTAACTTGGCATTAAACTATATTAGCTGCAAAGTGGAGACAATCTTGAAAAAATGCAGGTCTTTCCCACACTGAGTGCTCTGAACACTGGGCTTTCTGTGTTTCTGCACCCTTTTATCCCAGACAATTCTTAGAGCCTTCTCTTGTTCTTGCATTTGACATCAGATGAAATTTTTGCAGGGCTCTAAGTTTGAGGGCAAGAGCAGAAGGCTCTGAGCCAAATCCTGGTTCTGCTGTGGTCCAGCCCAGCCAGGGCTGTGGAAAGTGCCCTGAGCAGAGTGACTCTGGCCACATACAGAAACCAGAGAAGGCCATCTACAAACCTAAACACAAAAAAAGTACTCACTAAGTGAATTTAAACACCTCCTCCAGCAGCAGCCACTGACTGGGATTTGTGTATTTTTGTTACAGCCAAATCCTACACTGGGTACTTATAGATAATAGTGTTTGAAATGAGCTCAGGATGGGAAGAGCCAGTTTCCAGAAGGAAAAATCTCTGTGGTCAGGCTGCTTTGAGGCATGAGGCCACTTGGACAGTGAGCTATGTCTCCCAGACTCTTCCTTACGGAAAACTGCGTGAAGGAGCAGCTAAGGCTCTCCACCTTAACTCCACACTTAAGCTGAAGGTACTGAGATACTCAATTCCAAGTCTATTATCTCAGAGCCTTTACAAGTGGAAAGCCTTTACCTGGCAGGGAATGCTGTTAGTTGAATGACATTTTTTAAAAGGTTTCCAGTTTGAATTTTGCTTAGTTCTGCAGGCTGGGTATGATTGGAATTACAGTATTATGTTGTGTTATGACATAACTTGATGATGACTTGCTTGGAAGTGTTAGCAACATAACTAGTTCGCTATAAAAATGCAAACCTGATTCTATTTACTTCATTACTCACAAATAAAGGGAGGAGTTTCATTAGAACTCGGCTATACATAAGTCTTCTAAAACCTTTTCAAAGTACACAGAAAGTTTAATTCTCTTTCCAAAATGACTAAGAGCTCCTACAGAAGAGCCCTCTTATGACTACCTGGGAAGAACATTACATCCATAGTGGAAAAGAACATCACTTCTTAAAGAGGTAATTCATCATGCCACCTGCTATCATGTCCCCATGCTTCATAACTTATTTTTATTGACCAAGGACAATGTAAGGAAAGAAAAATGCAGTAGAGATGTATTAAACATTTAAAAAGTCTAATAAAATAGAAAAAAATCTTCCCATTAAACAGTTATTGATAACTTCTCCTCTTGGAGAACAGCATGATGCAGGGAACACCATTACTTTACTTCAGAGATAATGCAGAAGGCAGCCATCTGATGCTGTAAGTCAGACCCTCCTTAAGCACTTGCTGAGGAAATAGATGGGCCTGTTTGCTAGACAGTGAAATCACAGACTGAACTTTCTTTTCCCTCTCTCTGGGGGAAGTTGCCAGCACACCCAAGGGAAGGTCTGGTGCCAGCTCTAAGGGGGCACTTCTGGATGCCTGCTTGAGTAATCCTGCCTTGGCTGCAGCAACGGTACAAGAGGCATCTGGAGACAGGGCAGCAGAGAGGCCAACAAACAGCAAGGCTTTCTGCATGTTTTACAGAGCTGCCAGGCTTCTCACACAATGAATCATGTCCAGGTACAGGTGTGTCTAAGGTCCAAAAACCCAACAGCAGGTGTGAGAAGAGGGATTTACAAGCCATCAGAAGCTCACCATGCCCAGACTCGTGGCTAAGCAGTGGGACTGGCCCAAAGATGCCTGTGCAAGTGTTCAGGTTCCTGTCCAGCACCACTGGAACTAATCTTGCCCTTTTTGCTATGCCTTCCCAGCTGGCCCCTGAGGCCCCTTGGCCAGCTGCCGTCCCACCCTCTGTGCAGAGCATTTGCCACAGCTGAGCCTCTCTTGATCCAGGGCCACAAAGTCTCCTACAGCTTCTCGAGTCCAATGTTGGATTTCTGAACCTTACCACAGGCTCCCTTGTAAGGCTGCCTCTAAGTATGGCCTTTATATCTTGCCATCCTGCTGCAAAGAATAATATTGGTTATAATTTGGCCTTACACTTACCAGATTATCTGACCTTTTAGAAACAGACTTTTTATATAAGTACAGCCAGCAGTTTAAAAAATATCAGCATAGTCTGGTGACTCAAGTTGTTGGTTCAAAGCACACTGGGCAGAGCCAGTCTCTCTGTACCACATGGTGGCTTTGCCATCTTATTATTGCCTCTCTTGGGTCTCTCATCCAGGTCTGATTTCCAAGGCTAGATTGAGAAGGTCATTTGTAGTATCAGTGCTTACAGCACTAGATAATATTGACATGGAATTGACTGTGTTAAAATAAAAAATAGGATAGTGGTTCTTGTTCCTTGGTGATCTATATATCTGTGGAAGATTATGATGGCCATTGCTTCCAACTACAACTCAAAAAGTACCTTACAGATATGCCATGAGTATTGCCTTGCTTCTTTAATGGTGATTAGAGGGAACATAATTTAATTGATATAACAGTGGTTTATTGGAATAATGTAATCTCAGTAGATACATAGCTCGAATAAAACACTTTAGAGTTCTTATTTTATTGTGTATTTCCTCGTCCCTTTGTTATCATTCCAGTGAAGAGTAAATATAATTATCAAATTTATGCCTAATGCCACTGGGTATAAATCTAAATAAGTGCTTTCAACTGCAGCCAAGTATAAAGAACAAAAAGGGGAAAAAAACCAAATCAGTATTGTCTCAGTTTTGCCAGTATAGGAGTCTCTCAACTTATACTACTAAAATTAAACTAGTTGTGAAATAGCATAAACTGATATATATATCTATACCTATATGTATATATATTTATGCTATTTCACAACTATATATATATATATATATCCTGCTAAAATTAAACTTAGTTGTGAAAAAGCATGCCTGGAAGGTAAGTATTGGAGCTACACTGCAAACCCCTTTAAATATTTCATTAACTACAAGAACCTTAATACATACTCTAATAGATATATAAAAATACTTTTTTCCCCTCAAAAATAATAAATATAAAAATACATACGGCAATCAGATAATGAAGATTTGAATATATTTAATTCAGGACAACTGAAAGTGCTCTGGCTCGTTGTTTTCTCAAGTTTTAAAAGAATCAATTATTTCAAAAATGTATGTATCATCTTCCCTGGCAAACATGGAGATAAAAAATCTTTGAAAATAAAGAACCTCCTCGGGAAAGCAAGTTCTCAGAAGTGTTTTTACCTAGAGCAGGACAGGTTGCTCTGTCTTTTGACTCCTGGAGAAGATGCTCCCAGTGCCCTGCCCTGCATCACCCTGCTGCATGATGAGCGTGCTAGCCTGCCCTGGGACTTCAGAGCTGGCCACACACCCGGGCTTCTCCACCGTTACTACTTAGAACATGTTATTGCTTATGCTCCAGTTCCTGACAAATAGCTTCTGTAGTAACAGGAATTGCGCATTTAATAGGCTGTGGGTTTTTCTATCTTAACAACTTGTAAATCTGCCTCCTCCTCCTCCCCCGTCAATAAACTCTCTCTCCCCGAGACACAAAGTAGTGACCAGAACAAGTGCGCAGCCAGCTCACTGAAAGGCTCATGCAGTGACACCTCTGTGTTCCTGGGGAGGCATTCGCTGCCCCCGAAACGAAGTAAATGAAAACCGGGCATGAACGGTGCGCCAGCCTGGTGATGAAGGCGACCCTGAAGGCGTCCTTCTCCCTTCTGAAGAAACACCTTGCTGGGGTGAGTAGGTGAAAGAGAAGAGAACTGTAATTTCCTTTATTCCAAACCCGAGTTGCAGACAGTTTAACCCCAGACAGCCGCGCCAGGAGCGGCAGGTGTTCCCTGCCCGTCCATCCCGGCACCTGGGCTGCGCCCGTCAGCGGGTTTTAAGGGGCCCAAGTTCAGGGTTCTGCCGTCCCCGAGGGCTCCCCGCCGCCGGCTGCCCCGGCCTCTCCCGTACCCCCCACAACAGCTTCGGTGCCACCGGCGGCGCGGGAACCCCGGAGAGCGGGGCTGGGCCGGGGAGCGCGGCCGCCGCCTCAGGAGAGGGTGTGCGGGACGGGCGGCAGTTCCCGCCGCCGCGGCTGCCCCGGCCCGGCCCCGCTCCCCGAGGATCCCCCAGAGCTCTCCTGAGGCTCCCCCGGAGCATTCCCTCGGCTCTCCCGGGGCGCTCCCGGGGCTGCCCCGCGCCCTCAACCCCGGGCCCGGCGGAGGCGCCTGCGCGCTGCGGCCGCTCGGTGCCGGCCCCGCTGGCGCCGCCCGCAGCTCCCGCGGCTCCTCTGCCTATTTTAGTCACAGCCGCGGCTCCGTGCCCGCCGCGGGACGCGGTGTCGCCGGCGGCGACGGGCAGCAGCCCCAGCCCGTCCCGTCCGGGCTGCCCGGAAACTTTCCCGGAGCGCGGGGCAGGTAAGCGGTGAGGGCAGGGCGGGGGCCGAGCCGGACCGAGCCGGGGCGGGCAGAAGCCTCGGCGCTGCCTCCGCCCGCCCCCCGCCGGCGCTGTCCAGCCCGGCAGCGCTCGGAGCGCCGCTCGCGCTGCCCGGGGCCGGCGGGGCCGAGCGGAGCCGGGGGCGCCTCAGGCACCGCCGCGCTCCGGGACGGCCGCGCCGGGGCAGGGGCGGCGGCTGAGCGGCGGTGCCGGGAGGGCTGCCCGCCCGTCCCGGGATTCGAGCAGGGTTACCAGGGGTCACTGTCCCGGGAGGGAAGCCCTCCCTCCCGGCGGGGGTAACCGGAGCTCCCGAGCCAGCCCTGGCTGAAGTTGGAGAGCTCTGTCCCCTCTGGAGAGGAGGGGGCTCGCTGCCCAGCGCTGCTCCTCGCCGGGGCTCGCTCTGCAGTGGGATCCTTCTCTGTGTCCCAGGTCAGGGTTTGTCCCGTAGGACAGCCGGGTTTCTGATTGTGCCCGGGTGCTGACGCTCATTGACAGAAGAGCTGGCTCAGGAGTATCTCTACTTGTCACACAACCACCTCGGGATCCGGGGATTTCTTCCTGCGGCTGGGGCTTTGCCTCGTAGCCTGGCGTTATTTGAGTCTTCTCCCTCTCCATCAATTAATGGTAAGAGCAGATGAACCCTGAAATCGCATTTGCAGTTGCTCCTTTCTGAAGATAGAACGAGCGACACAAAGCACTTCCCTTCCCCAAACTACAGTTTCTTTTTGCCAAACATATTCTTCCAAACTCTAATATTTCATCACATATTTTTCATCTGTTCTATAAATCTTTGTGTACCTTTAGACTGTCAATCACTTTATGGGCAAATATTTTATGTAGCAGATCTATTGTAAGACTGAATCACTGATAGTGTTACAGAGATGTCATTGATGAAACCTGGGTTCCAGAACTAGGGCTTCTTGCTAACTTTGTTGTTTGATGGGAATATGATTGTACACATACAAGTTTAAATGTCTTCATTGACCACAGCAAAACAAGTGATTGTTTCCACTTCTGCAGAACTGGTCCTGTTCAGGCTTTCCACAAAATTCTGTGTGGTGCCAAATAATAAAGTGGCTTAAAATGTCAAGGTTTAAAGAAATGTCTTGCCTGCAAAATAGTAAGTACAGTGCAAGTCCTCTAGTGAAACAAGCAAATGGTAACTGTGGCCAGTTGCGGTTCTTGACAAAAACTTTGCCTTCACAGACATCTTAAAGCTCTTATGACACAAGTTGAAAACAGATAGTTTATTAAGGATTCAAGAAAAGTATTAACTGAAGGTACATTTGATCTTTTTATTAAGTGTGTGGGCTCTTCAGAGAGGAGATTTTATTTTGTCCTTTGAGTGTGTTGCCCTACTTTGCAAAGGAGAGCTCTGGTCAGAGTCTCCAGATGATGACAGACAACCTGTGTTTGTGTGTTTGGGCTCGTGGCACATCCCCGTAAGCCAGCTGTACGTGCAGGTATGGGGTGGTGAGCCAAGCCTCTTCTTTGGGAAATGAAGTCCATGTCAGGTGGTTGGTTTCATGGGAATACATTCCCAGTGAAAGGCACTCCTGCACCACACAAACTCATCTGAGCGGAATTCTGCAGAGTTCAGCTGCAGTTCATTAACCCACTTTTAAAGCACTTGTGAAATGTGCCTTGTGGCTGCTCTCTCCACTATTAATTTAAAAGTTGAACTGAAGAGAAGCTTGAACTTGTACTTTCTTTTGTGTCTGTTTTCTGAAACACCAGAAAACAGACAACCACCATTGTTTTTTGGTAATGCCATTCAATATTCAAGAGCCTTGCTCAAATTTATTCAAGTGCTGGTGATCTTAAAAAAAAAGTCTGATTGCCAATCTGTATTCTAGGAGCAAAAGGGCTTAAAAAATGAGAGAGGAGATTCTACTTCTTAATTTGGTGGGAGTACCACATCTACTTATGGTTCATTAATTCTGATTCAAATTGAAAGAAAGATGTATTTTATTTTTCATTTCAGACACTGTATAGGTTATAAAATAGACAGCATCTTCAACATTGGCTTGCAACCACAGAGAGTTGCATTGTGTATTTTACAGTGATAAATGAGGAATTGTTGAAGTACTGGAAGTTGTGTATAGTTAGCTGATCTCTAAATAATTAAAGATTAAATAATACCAGTTTCACTGTATGCAGTGCTCCTAATGAGCCTCAGACTGTTCTTTCTCTATTATTGTGGGGTTTCTTCTTGTCTCAAGGCCTCCCTCTGCCTAGCTTTTTTCCACTTCCTAGAATGAATGATTAGTAGGAATTTAAGCAAATTGTAGGCAGAATCAGGCCTTCCCAGCTGCACCCAAACAAGCTCAGTGAGTGGAAAGTCCAATGAAACATCTCCTGTTGAAGAGCTGTGCTTTGGAGACAGCAGCTCTGCATCTGCAGCACCAGGGAGATGGAGACAGGCCCAGCTGGGTGAGGAGCACAAGCAGTCTCTGTCCTGGTGCCGTTTGGTGGGGTCTGTGTGTGGAGTGCTGACCTCAGTGCAGAGGTGGCATTGGGGTGTCTGCAGGGCTGGGCAGCAGCTGAAGGGGCTGCTTGGTTGGACAGCCTGAAGCATGGTAGCCTGAATTCTGCCTGACCATGGCAGGGCTTTGGCCCTGGGTGGGAACCCAGGAAATCCCTCTGGCTGCCCTGGGGGCTCAGAGACCTTGGCATGGAGCCCGAGACCACTGTGCCTTTGATTTAGCCCTTGGAAAAAACAATTGCCAACCTTTATGTGAAGAAATACAACTCAAGAAAGTTTAAGTAGAATAACAGTTAGTTTGTCATGGGGTGAAAAATAGATTTTTGAGGTTTTTAGAATGGGGCTTCCCAAGATGGAGGAATTTGGGTGTGCCTTGTCCTTTTTCCTTCTTCTTCCTAGCCTCCATCTTCTGGGTGATGTTGGCATTTTTAGATTGGTTTAGAGTAGAAACTCACTGTCTAACATAGGTGATAGGTATTGGGAAGTTATGGTAAATAATGTACACGTAGTTTTTAGTATAAAAACACACCACTGCCTCTGAGGCAGGCAGTGTGCCTCAACCTGACCTGCCAGACAGACCTGCGGTGGGTCAGAGAAAGGATGTTGTAGATAAGAAATAATAAACAACCTTGAGAACAAGAACAGAAAAATCCTGACTCCTCCATCAACTGCTGGGCTGGGAAAAAGAGGCTTGTACATATCTCAGTCACTCTGAGAGTGATTTGTACATATCTCAAAGTCACTCTGAGCAGCAGAGACTCTGAGACCTGGGAAGTCCTGCATGGCTGCTGGTCGTGTCTCAGAGCTGCCCTGAAGGCAGTGAAGCACCTCTGCTGGCTGCACATGCCCCAGCTGCCTGTTTTGCAGCTCTGAGCATTCCCAGAAGGAAGGATTACTGTCTGGGGGGTATCACATCACATGGATGATCTCATGTGGCAGGTCCAGTTTGGGAATTGCAGCCAGGCAGGCTGGAAGGGCTGGGCAGAGTGTGGTCTGACTGCTCTTCCTAAGGCCTGAGACACTTCACTTCCATGTGACAGCCTCTGTCAGAGCCTGATCCTGTGGGTGAGGCAGATGGGACATGAATGGCACACGGGATGCGTGCCCCAACCAAGGGAGTGCCAATCCATCTTCTCTCCTGCCCTGAGCCTGCTCCCAGTGACTCATTGTGACATGTGTGGGTGGGTCACTTGCTGCCCTTGTTGCAGCTGTGGTGTTGTGCAGGAGGGACACAGAACTGCACTGCAGTCTCTCTTCACTCTGCCATGAGTGTTGGGAAGGATGAAAATTTGACAAGAAAGTCTCACAAATATGTATGCTTGGCAGAAAGTTTTTTGAATGTAGAATCTGAAGAAGGAATAGAAATGAAAGCAAGTTTTGATATAGAAGAAAATAATTGCTAAGCCAGTCTTACTGGATAACCAAGAAGGGAAAGGGTATGTTAGTTAGAAGGGGTTTTTGTGACTTAGAGCAAAGGATAAACCCACCTCAAACAGAATAATTTTTTACCAAGCAGAAAGCACAGGCAAACAAGCCTGCCGATGTTGCAAGTAGAAAACAGGTTTCAAAATTTTCCACTGCAAGAAAACTGAAAAACAACTTTTAGCTTAAACTACAATGTACTAACTTTTAGTGATTGGAGAATAGAAACATGAATATGGCAATTATAGCACTTATGATAGGCTATAGATTAAAGTTAAGGTACAGATTGGTTCTTCTGTATTAAGATGCTCAGCAAAGAAAAGTGTGTAATGATTTGTAACCAAAAGGGTCTCCAGGCCTGCCTGCAGCTGGAGCTGACAGCTGTGGGCACAGGCTCTGTCACCCATGACCTTAGACTGCTGTAACCTTTTGGATGTAATAAACTGCATTTTGAAGAGCCTCCTGAAGTCCCACATCTCCCTTTCAGGCTCTTACTCATGAGGATGCTCACCCAGGGAGTGGGGTGCTGAGGCTTGGTTGCTTGGGTTGCAGACAGGCTCCAGGGTAAAGCATTCACATCCCTTTCTTTGAAAACCATTCACAGGAAGGGAATGCTGGCTCCGCACAGATGAAGATTTCATCTATAATGTCTACAGGAGGAATAATTTCAGAGATACACCTGTCTTCAGTGGTTTCTGTTGTCTAAAGTAGCTCTTAGTTGGTATCTGAGATAGGCTTCTGGATTTCTCTGGGAACACCAGCTCCAAAACTTTCTAGGTATAAATAACTTCTTTATATCAAGTAACTCAAGACAAAAGTCCAGGAAACATTGCTGCGATCATCTAATGTGATTTCCTGTGGCATAAAAAATAGAATTGTAGTAAATAATCTTTTTAATAGTATACCCAGACTTATTTTAGGGACCAGAGAGCATCTTAACTTCTTTAATTCCTAGCAAAGGAATCTTTAAAGCCATCCTACTAATTAATTACCTTTGCTATGTATGCTTGTTTGTCTTTGAAATCTGAATATTTCTAGTTTTATAGTGACTGGTTGTCTTGATACTGTTGTGTTTTAGATTGGGCAGTCCTTTTCTTCCTCACCTTCCTGCCACCTTCCTGCAGGCTGCATTTTGTTGGTGAAACCTTACAAGTATTGTAATTACAGCTTTCTCTAGGATACAGTCTCAAGAAGTTTAAGGTAATGTAGCTTGTGTTAGTTGCTGCCCTGATTGCTGCATGCATGTTCTCAGCCTGAAGTGTCCAGGGACAGTGGATCACTGAAAATAGCAGGTGTACCTGCCCATGCTTGCCTGGAGGCACACAGCCTTAGGTTTCTCTAGATGCAGAGCTCTTCTGTGCCCTGAGTTAGATGCTGCAGAGCAATTAAGAGTTTGGCTCTCTTGGCCCCTGGGGTGTCCGGCCCCACTGCAGGAGGAAAGTAGTTTGGGGAAAGTATGCAGCACAAACAGGGATTGGCAGTGATGGGTGTCAGTAGGGGCCACAGAGAGGATTCCAGGGATGTAGGGCAGTGGAAGGAAGAGGTATCTCAATTGTCATTTGCCTTTACATTGCGTGTGAAACTACTTGATGAAATTAAGGAGCAATTTTTTTTATAATCTAAATTTGTTAGACCACATGTAATTTGTGAGCCTAGAGAGGGTGCCCAGAGCTCATCCCTGTGGAAGTGGGGATGTCTGGGCCAGGAAGACCCCCCTGGCTGGAGGGACTGCCTTGGCCCCGGTGGAGTTGCTGGAATGTTGAGCCAGGCTGTGACTCCCAGCTCATGTATACAGTGTGAAAGTGCTGAGGGCTTTCTTTCAGGGTACTTGGGATAAGGCAACTGAAGAATGGACTATTCAAACTCTGAATCGCTTTACTTTTGACTTAATTAAAAAAGATCAGTGAGAGAACTGCTGATGGCCTCAGGGCTTATAGGGTTTCTTTTTTGCAGGAATTATTGTGATCCAGACACAGTAACTAACACTCAGAGCTTCTCAGAGTTGAATTTGAATCATCAGTGACAAAAATGGGGTAAAGCACATGGTTCTCAAGCAAATTAAAAAGGTACATAATAATAGGTAATTCTTTGTGTGAACACTGCAGTGTAGGGGGGAAACACCCAGTTGAGGAGGGGGAAAGGTTGTAATGTGCATTTGTACAATGCAAACTCTTTCTGTTTTGACTGGTTCAATGTACTGTTTATATGAAATTTTAGGTTGCCAGCAGGTATTTATTTGGTAGCATATAAGGGAAATACTTCGTTTTCTGCTTTGAAACTCCCGCAAACTCTGTGATTTCACCACTTTCTGATAGCAACTCAGTCCTCTCAGCACTGCTGCTTGTTTTAAAGAAGTCCATGCCAGTGTACATTACTCACACCTCTAGCCTGCGCTGATTTTTCACATCACTTCATCTGCTCCTGCTGGAGAAGGTGGGATGTGGTGGGGCAGGACACTCTGAAGCATGTCAGTAATTCAGGCTGTGTTGGCAGGGCACATCTCCTTCCCCAGCTGGAGGACTCATCGTGCATGAAGCTCAGGTTTTGGCAGCCTGCAGATGTCAATGTGTGCCACTGTGATCATGGCAGGGATGTGCTGTGCACGCTGCTCCTTCCCCATGGGCAGGGCATGGTGCAGAAAGTGCTCAGTGTTTGCTTGGCAAATCACAGTTTTAGCAGCTTTAGCAGCCAAGACTCGTGTTTTAAATGCAGTTTCCTGCTTGCTGGATGATCACCACCAGATGAACTTGTAGCAAGAGCCGTTCAGCACAGCCAGGGCAATCAAAGCAGGACGTCCAACAAAGCAGGAGGCCAAAGCACCTCAGTGACAGGATGGTGTCCCCTCCAGGTGCTCACAAATGTGATGTTGTCTGCTGTGCAGGATGACTCAGTTGGTATCACAGCTGCTTGGTTTTTTGGTTTGGGGGATATTTCTCACCCACAACCTCACTTACAGTAGATGAATGGCTTAATTAGCGTGTCTGTTCTGAAACCTTCAAGAGTTCAAATTTTGGACTTGCAGGAACTATAAAGAAAAAATGTGAAAAGCCTCATCTAGGCACTAAATACCCTTCAAAACTGGAAATTTTACTAAACTTATACCTGTTATTGTCCCTGCTCTATTTACAACTGCCAATGACTTTTAGCTCCCAAACATTAGAATAATTTCTTATTTGAGAAGAGCTGCATTCTCTCTTTCTGCCTGCAAGCATGCCTGCTCTTCAGCATAACTCTGAGGAATGAGTCCCATTTAGGAGTGGGTTTTGTCAATATTTCCAGAGGGTTTGGTTTTTCCTGCACACCTTGTGTAGCTCAGGAGAGTGTTGAGTTGGTAAGGCTGTGCTTTGGCCTCCCTCCTTTGCCCTTCCTTTTGCCTGGAAGGAGAGATGCCCTCTCCAGTCTGGGAGATGCTGCAGCACAGTAAAAGTTCTCATTGTGTAGAACTAATTGAATCAGTGGGAATTTTCCACACAGTTGTTTTGGAAGATAGGTCCAATTCTGAAAATTAACAAATGCAGAACAGTTTTCTCAGGACTTTGTTTTTGTGTGTGATGAGCCTATATCCGTGTCCTAGTGGTATGCTGTTCTTTCCAAATTATTTTGGCCCATCTTGCCATGAATAAATGCTTTACAGAAATGCTGTGAGCTGTAGTGTGGGCAGACTGAGAAAGGAATAAGTGAATTAAAAATTGTGCATACATTCTGTGAAATTACTATTGTGTTATGTCACATTATTGTAATGTGTGACATTACACAATGAAAAGATGCTTGTAATGTAAAGCAAATTACTGCTCCACCATGGTTTTGTTTGTGGCATTCATACAGTTTCCAATGTAACTCCTCAGTCATGGCTCCCTTCAAAACACTGATTTTTACTGTATTCTTTTAGAAATTAGAGTCTTCAGTAAAACTGCTTAGAGCAAAATGTTGGCAGGAGAGTAGAAGTATTAGCAATAATCCAAAATCACTATTATCAGTGATTCTGTTTTAAACAAACAATCAGTGAAACAAAAAAACTTCTGCCACTGATTTCTGACTGTGTAATGGAAATGCTGAGTGGATTCAGAACACAAGGTCTGGGAACTGCATGTTCCAGTTTTATTTTCTTTTGACTCAAAAATCTTACCCCATGATCACAGAAGCACCACTTAAAATTCCTCATGACCTTACCATACCTAGGTAACTTCTTTATAACTCATGCACCTTCCATCTCCCAGTCTCCAAGGGACAAATCCAACATCTCAGGGGAATCCTGTACCAGAGGAGAGTATCTGGATAAAGAAACAAATGGCAAAGGTTTTAGTTGTAAACTACCTTATTCTTCTAATGCTGATTTTTATGCTTACAGGAGGATTTTGAGCATTGTAATTTGGAGAGATTCTGTGCTCTTTAGCTCTGGTATTTTTATGGGCCAGTGACTTTCCTATCACCACTCTCAGAGAGGGAGAGTCTCCTCCTAACTTGTTCTTCTGAGCTCTGCTGCTCAGTTGTGTGGGATTTTATGTCTCTATTTGGCACCAGTGTTATTCACTCATAGAATTAATGTTGGGGTTTGAATAAACTTCAAAGAAGTAATGCTGTGGTGGCTAGGAAATATGATACAAATTTTCTTTATTAATTTCTTAGAGCTGTCACTGTAAAAGAAGCACCACTGAAAGCCCTGATGAATGATGCTGCATGCCTCAGTGCAACAGCAGTGCTTTTAGAGTATTGACTTCTGTGGCTCTTGTGAGGGGAAAAAAAACCAAACTACTTTGATATTCTAGAGAATCTGATAATTTTGATAACAAGATAGTTCTTAGTTTCCTTGCCATTCTGCCAGGAAAAGAACCAGACAGTAAGGCTTGGGAAGGTTTCAATACTGATTACACCACTAATATATTCTGGTTTTGCAATTTCTACCGTGTATAATCTCACACTGAGGTATGTATTTTTCTTTTAAAAGACAGATATGGAAAGCTAGTTTTGATTTTTTGTTTTTAGATTTATTTTGGAGTTTCTTTCATACTTCTTGGTTCTGTGTTTTCCTTTGAAAACTCTTAGGAATACATCACCATACGAAAATGAATACCATGTTTCACATTTTAGACTGTTGAACAATAAAATTATGTGGCCCATGGCATGAAATTCTATGATGTAGAACTTTGAATGTTGTAAAATTGCTTTGTAAATGTCCCTGGAGTCATATTTTGCAGGACTACTTACTTCATGTTCTAAAAGCATAATCTGTATCAGGATGCCTTTAGGCCTTGCTGTCTTCCCTATATATTACAGGCTTTTTTGCCTGTTATCCTTGGAGCAGAAAAGACCCTGTGACACTTGGGTTTCCCTTGTGGGTTTGGGGATGGAGTTTGCTGTCCCCAGGGACAGAGAGCAGAGATTTGAGAGAATGCTCAACCCATTAATGAGAATGATTTGACCAATGGAGGAGGTGAACAAGGAAGAAGAGTTCACTGTCTCTTCTTGTTAAAGAGCTGGGTAGGACATTTAAAAGGCTCTCAGGGAGCAGGGGCTGGACCAACAAATCCTTGTTAGCAGTGAGGCTGTGCAAAACTTGTCACAGGATGTTGTGAATGCAACACACAGCTTTACATGGATTCAGCAGCAGTTCAGTGATTGCTGCTCAGATCACAGATAAAGAAAACATGATCTTCAGCTGAGTGAATATTAAAGTTTGATCCTGGAATCACAGAGCTTCAAGAGTAATTGGATTGTAATGCAGTCTGTGGTTTAGGCAATAAAACTTTGATAAAATTTAATTGATGAAAATAATTTTATAAGTAATTCATCTCTTTTTCACTTGTCCAGATCAGATGAAGCTACAGATGACATGACCAAAGTCAAAACAATGCATGAAGTGATGAGAAACAGCACTCAGAACTTTAGCTTCTTCATTGCTGGAAACCCTAAGTGCAACTTTACTACCAAGAGACCCTGACGTTATGAGATCACTGAGCACAGTTTGCAAGAATGGAAAACCAAAGGAAAACCAAAACTAGTAGCATCTCATAAATAAAAGATTTCAAGATTCAGCTGAATCAAAAAAACTATTCCAGCCATGGGAGAAAATGCAAGTTTTTGGGAAAGTCTGATATATGCACATCCTACATGTACCAGCTGGAAGCAAGAGGCAGAGGGATCTATCTACCACCTAGCCAGTATTTTCTTTGTCGTGGGCTTCATGGGTGGAAGTGGATTCTTTGGGCTTCTCTACGTCTTCAGCTTGCTTGGACTGGGCTTTCTCTGCTCTTCTGTTTGGGCTTGGCTGGATGTGTGTGCTGCTGATATATTCTCCTGGAACTTTGTACTGTTCGCCATCTGCTTCGTCCAGTTCGTTTATGTTACCTACCAGGTGCGGAGTGTTGCCTTTGACAGGGAATTCCAGGAACTCTACAGTGCTCTCTTCCAGCCTCTGGGGATTTCCTTGACTGTGTACAGGAAGATTGTCCTGTGCTGTGATGCAGAAGTGGTTACCCTGGAGAAGGAGCATTGTTATGCCATGCAGGGCAAAACACCTATTGACAAACTGTCCTTGCTTGTGTCAGGCAGGTTGGTATTGCTTTGTTCAGGTTTTCTGCAAATATCTTTATTTTCCTCTCCTTATTGAAAATGAAAGAAAAAAAAGGAAAAAGCCTGGTTTGTGTATTGTTTGTTTATTTTCCAGTACAACAGATTAAATATTAATGCAAGTAATATAAATATTAATAGGTTAAATACACTTGTCTATGATAGTACTAGCATAAAAACACAAAGCACAGAATCTGAAATAACATAAAGAAAAGATTTTTTTCAGGCTGCTGTGTCATATAATTTAACAGGTTAGGCAGATAAAGGGAATAAATGTGGATTTTCAGTGTTCAGGTTATGTCTTTCTGTCTATCTACTGCATAGCTGATGAGCACAGCATCTGGCCTATTTTTCTTTACTAGTATCATGTGAAATGGGACAAAAAGTTAGTTACAAAACTGAGATAAACTGTTTAATAGAGATCTTGACTTTGATATAGATTGCATTCAGTTGCTTTCAAGGGAGTGGGAGAAGGGTATTGATAAGGAAGAGACAAAGACTTAAAAGTGCCCTTTCATTACAAGAGGATGTAGCTGAGCCTTATCAAGACTTGCAGACCTGGGTCTACAGTTACTGTATACTGTGGCCTGTGTTAGAGGCAGCAAATCCACCTGAGGCAGCAAATCCACCTGTTTGTACTCCCTGTTTCCAGGACAGGCTTCTGGCAGCCTTGCTGATGCTGTTCTGGAGGGAAACACCAGCTTTTGTACTGTTTGCAAAGCTGGTGCAGTCCCAGAACGCCCCAAGAGCAGGTGGGACACCCAGAGGTGATGGACACGGACTGTCCTTGGTGGGACACCTTGATGGGTGGGTGCTTTTTGCTGCATGGACACATGGAACCTGTGGACAGCTTGACACTCAGCTGATTTAGGACTACCTGCAGTGAACAATATGGATTGTGGGCAGTTTTCCAGAACCCTGGCTCACAGAGTTCTTGGGAGCTCTCCAGGAAGTACCTCATGGAAGTTGCTTTTGGTCTCACCAAACAAGAGGTATCCATCCTTCTACATGCCCAGCCAGTTAGGGATCTCCCAGAGTTCCTGCTGCCCTTCACCATGGGGTACAGGGCTGCTTGTGTGCCTTCAAATTTATTTGCTATTTTAAAAGTAGCAAGGAAAGGAAGGTCTTTGGCATCTTCAGAAGGCCACAGCATTTACACAGAGATCCCACAATGCCAGGCTGTTCTGGCTCCAGACATGGTCCTGTGGCCATGTAATTCATGTTAAACATAGAGAGAGGCCTACCTAACACATGCCATGGGCATTCCTGCTTCCCACTCCCAATTTTTCCACTTTGTTCTCTCTAAAATGAGTATTTGCCAAAACTATAAGGAAATCCCATGGTTTGCAGGAGAAGCAGGTAAATGCTGTAATGGGCATTGGTCTTTCACCTCTTCAGTGCATGGTGGCCTTTTAATGGCAGAGAGAATAATGTGGTTTGAAAAAGGCCTGGAAAGATTTCCCTTTCAGTTGCATGGTTGTCTTCTGTTGTCTTTCAACTGGCCTGAGCAAGTTGGGTTCAAAAATATAATTAGGATAATTATAATTGGCCATTGATTGATTTTTCATGCTTTCAAAGCTATATTTAAATTCCTCAGATAGTAGAAATAGCACAATCTTGTGGTAGTCATTGCTGGTGTACAGGTAGTGCTAACAAATTAACACATCTTATCTTGGTAGGATCAGAGTGACAGTTGATGGGGAGTTTCTGCATTATATTTTTCCTCTTCAATTTCTGGACTCTCCTGAATGGGATTCACTGAGGCCCACAGAAGAGGGAATTTTCCAGGTAAAAGTTAAGGGGTTTGGGAAGTCCTCTTTATCTGTTGGACTGGTTTTGCTGTTTGTGCCTTGTTACAACAAACAGGGGTTTTCTAAAAGCCAGTCTGGGAGGTTAATCTGGGAGGTAGGCTCTGTTGGCATTCTCTGCTGCGCTGATATTCAGCCCTGAGAAGCCAGGGTTCCTCAGGGTGGGAAGAAGCTGGTGCTGAAGGTTTCCCAGTGGGAGATGAGCCAGGGGAGGACGTGCCTGGGCCACAGCTTGGCACGGGTCACAGCACAGGACACGGTGTCAGCTGCGGTGTCCCTGCACTGCTGTCACTCGCCTGACACGCTGGCTCCCGTCCCTGCTGGATCTGATGTCTGCTGTCACGAGAACAAATGGCATTTGTGGAGAGCTTTCTTTAGACCTGCCTTTTCAGCTGAGGCTGCCAAGAGTGGAGCAGGGAATGCAGGGGTGAACCAGGGGCATCCATGTGGCACTGAACACGGGATGCCATATGGGCACAGACTTATTGTCACTGAGGTTAACTAGATGTGATCACTTAGTCCATAGCCAGTCACCTTTCTCATTTGTGTTTTGCATACAGTAACTTCCCACACAGAATCACAGAATAATGAGGTTGGAAGAGACCTCTAAGACTGATTTAACCTCCCAGAGCTCTCTGGCTCGGTTAAAAGTCTCTAATTGCAGTAGACAGGTTCTGCTGGGAGAGGGGGGTGCCTTCTGAGCAAGGGCAGCAGCACTGCCTTGTCACCTGGCTGTTCAATTCTCTCTTCTCCAGGTAACACTCACAGCAGAGACAGACTGTCGGTACGTGGCCTGGAGGAGAAAGAAGCTCTACCTGCTGTTCGCCAAGCACCGCTTCATCTCCCGCCTCTTCTCCATCCTGATCGGGAGCGACATCGCCGAGAAGCTGTACGCGCTCAACGACCGGGTGCACGTGGGCCAGGGCTTCAGGTACGACATCCGCCTGCCCAACTTCTACCACGTGGCGCTGCCGGAGCCGCCCCCGGTGCTGCCGCCGCCGCGCCCGCACCGCCTGCAGCGGGGCTCGCCCCGCCGCCCGCCCGCCGCGGCCGCCAACTGCGGCTCCTTCCTCGCCCCCTCCTAGGCAGGGACAGCCCCTGCCCCAGGCACTCCTCACCGCGCCGGAGGGAAACGGGAGCTGGCGGGGCAGAGGGACAGAAGCAGACGAAGCCAAATTTGACTGACAAGTGCCATTAACTGTTATAAGTAGAAAAGCTGCCCATTTTTTTAAAAGGTTGCAGAGTTCACAGGTTGGGCTAGTTGCTGCCGGGGTGGAGTTCTAAGCGTTTGTTATTGTAACCACCTGTCGTTTTCATTAACTACCTGTCGTTGATGGTTAAGAATTCCCCCTTTTGTCGCGTGGCGTCCTGCTGCTTCCTGGAGGATGGCATCCGGAAGGTGAAGAGGAGGTGACTCGGAGTTAGCATGGAAATGAAATCAGAGCCAGCATGCAACGAGAGAAGCCCCTCACCAAACCTAGCCAAAAACCCCTAAAAATGAGCCAACACAAAATTGACAAATCAAAGTGATGACTAGATGTGAGGAAGAGAATCTAATATCTGCTAAGACCGTTTTTTACCCCTCACCCTAACCTAAAAGTTGTCGGCTAGACAGGACCTCGAATGTTGAACCAAAAAGCGCAGGATCTCCTGATGCTGGGGTGAGAACGGAACCCCCAGCTCTGCCCACAGACCAGTGGACAAAGTTGCACTCTTCCTCCTCCTCAGTCACTTCTGGGAGCACTGGCATGAGCGTGAGTTGGGTTCTCCCCATCCAACTGCATTTTGACTGTCTGTGCAATATGTTTACTTTCTGTTGATACTCCTTCATCTCTTTTGTTTTGGAGTAGAACAAATCATAACAGTATGAGGTCTTATTGCAATTGTGATGGCCTCTGTTGGTTGTTTTTTTTTTGTTGTTGTTTTGTTGTTGGTTTGTTGTTTTTTTAATGCAAGCCCATTGTAATTATATTTTCCTAAAAAAATTTTGTCACAATGAAGTATGGTCAGAATAGTCAATGAAAACAACCAAGTTGTCTTCAAAACATAGCAACTGGTTTATAATGTTCTTTTTTATGCCATGTGAACATTCTCTCAATTTACATTAATAATGTTGCACAAAAAAAGACCAAGGAATGATTGCATTGAATTTATTTCTTAAAGAAATGAAAGATTTTGAAATGCACAGCAAGATGGTTAAAAACCCAAACAAAACAACAAATTGTGTCCCATGAGTAATTAGTTTCTCTCTGACTGTCCTTAAGAGGTAATACGTGAAAACAAACATAAGCGTCATTGCTGGCATTAGAAAAATGCAAGAGCTGTGACTGCTGCAAACACAGCTTAGGGAAATGTTGTGTAGCATTTCTGATGGAATGTGATGCTATAGGACCTGGGATTCTGCAGTGTGTGCCCTTTGTGACATGTACAATAAATAATGTTAATCAATCTACTGCCAAACCATTGGAGTTTGTTTTATAATATTCCTTTTAACTGTGTTTGTCAGGAAGAAACTAAAACAGCTGCAGCAATAAATACAATTTTTAACTGACACATTCTTGTTTAGCTTCCAGAGTCACTTTTCTGTGCCTATGAAACTCTTGATTCAAAAGATGTTCTCTCCCTAATTCTGTGGTGGTTTAATGACATAAGGGAGCCTCAGATTGCACTTCAGTAGGAGAGAGTTCGTTCCGACCCTCGGGGTCACTGTGCCTTTGAAGAAAAGTGTCCAAATGTCTTTGCTAACTCACCTTCCTGCTGCTCTGCCTGATGCCTGCCAGTAATCAAAAAGTAAGAAGCATTACTATTTTATGAGAATGGATTGCTGCTTGATATGTCTGGAAGTAGATAATAATTTTAATATTTTAAAATTGCTGGCTTGTTTGATAGGATGACCCCTGTGTGCTTCTCTATGTGTGGGTATACATGTAAGTTCAGATCTTGTGAGTTGTTTCTGGAGGACTTAAAATGATGATACAATCTTACACTTGGAGGATAATCATGCTGTATGTATAAAAAAGCTGTTAGGAGTGACGTGAAACACAACCTGTTTGAAGGACATTTAGTGTAGAGCAGATAAGATTGCACAAGTTTTGCTTTTAGCTTTATGTTGCTTCCTCTGAGAGGAAAACCAGCCAGACGTAAATACCCCAGAATGCAATGTGATAATCCCCAAATCATTCTCATAACCCTTCCAGGCAGTGTATTCTGTTTGTACTGTTTAATGCATGAAGTCCCTGAGACACAGAGCTACATTGTCTTGGCCGAAAGAGAATTGGAAAAAATGCAAACAGTTCACTGATGGCTCTAAATGACCTCTTCAGATGATAACTAAGGCACAAAGTGCCAGAGGTTGGCAGCATGCTGTAAGGATGTACATCTGTGTAACAGTCTACAAACATAAAAATATTTTAAATGCATAAAAGAGATCCTATTCTAGACTTAGGTGTAATAGAAATAATTTATTAGTGTTCTCCTTGGTTTTCTTGGATATTTCAGTTTGACCTATTTATTAAAGAAAAGTTGTCTTTACTAAATTCTGACCCTGCTGAAGTTAATTAGTTTGATTATCTTCAAATTAAAATAAGACAAAAGGAGTCTTACTCACCCAGTTTCTATGTCAAGCTTATGTATTCTATTTAAGCTGTAGCATACTGCTTAGAAAGATACTGGGGAATGATGGGTGCTTCATGACATACTTTGATAATTTTTTGGTTTTTGTGACTGTTGTATGCCTTGGTTTCTGTCACACACTTTCCAAACACAATCTTCTGTGATGCTTTTCTCTGCTGCATTTGGTTACTGTCAGAAATCTCTACCAGGACGTGTCTGAGTCAATATCTGAACACACTCTTAGCTAATCTTGTTTAGGTGTTGCTACTGTGCTTTCTGGGCTTTGAGTCATTTTTTAAAAATTGTTTCTAGTTTTCCAGTATCTGTTTGAGACATGACTAGCAGAACATTTGAGCTGGAAAAATCAGCTGTAAAATAGATGTCTACAATAATATAAGTACACACAAAAGGGCTGGAAGCAAGACAGAAGTTCTCTCTACCTCTGTTTTTATTTTAATCCTGACAGTACTTCTAAAACATACAGTGAAATATGCTCTGGAATGCGACTCATAAAGTAGTGTTTTGGGAGGGCTGTATAATCTCCCTAAATGAAGACATGCTCAGGATGATGACAGTGAAATTAGACAAGTTTTGTGAGATCATAAACACCCAGTCATTAGAGAGTTGGGGTTGCTCAGCCTGGAGAAGAGAAGCCTCCAGGTGACATTTTATTGCTGCCTTTCAGTACTTAAAGGGGCCTGCAAGAAAGATGAGGACAGACTTTTTATAGCAGAGCCTCTTGTGATAGGACAAGGGGTAATGGCTTTAAATTCATTAAAATATTTAAGGATATATTTAGATATAAGGAGGAACTTTATTATTATTTTGAGTGTGATGAAACACTGAAAAAGGTTGTCCAGAGAGATGGTGGATGCCTGGTCCTTGGAAACATTCAAATTGGATGGAGCTCTCGGCAACTTGATCTATTTGAAGATATCCTCACTTATTCAAGGGGATTGGGCAAGATGGCCTTTAAAGGTCCCTTCCAACCCAGACCATTCTATGATTCTATGATTATTTATAGCTTAATAAACATTTGGAGCTAGAAGAAGTTCTGACTTGAGCATCATCCAATTTATGCCCGTGTTACAGCTCCGAAATAACTTAGTGACATGACCAGATTCCTTCATAATTGGTTTAAACAAGTGGATGCTTGAGTCCCTGCTGCTATCAGTGAGTCCTTTTCTTGATCCTGTAGTGATTCCCCTTTACTCACATTTTACATTTTTACCAGTTTCATGACCTTTTGTGGAATTATGTCTACATTTATATGCTGCTATAGGTAAGAGTGGCAGAACCTGTGCACGTGATGATGTGGTCATTCACATTTGTGCACATGATGTGGTCATTCATCAGTTGATTTTTATAAATTTTTGTAATTATGTGGACATCATGTTGGAATTGCCCTCACAGCCTGCAGAAGGGTTCAAATTTGTGTCAGGTAAGAAACGATGGCCTAGGACAGTCCAAAACAGAGGGGGAGGAGTAGAAGAAGAGACAAAAATATTTCATACAAATTGTATCCAAGAGAGGTTTATTTCAAATTGGACTTCGGACAAATTAGTTTTGAGTGCAACAATATGTAGTTAGAGCTTCAAAGCAAGTCTTGCCTACTAAGGAGCATGGGACTGACCCTGCAATTCTTTCATTGGTAGTATTTTAACTACTAATAGTGGAAGTACAGGTAACAGGTTCCATCATGCAACTACACTCAAAGATACAAAAACTATGGAATAACCAGAGGATACAGCCCAATGTACTGTTGTAGCTAATACACTATGCAAGGCAAATTTAAAGTGCTTAAAGAAACAGGTTCTTTTATTCAGCTGCCTGTGATAACAGAGGCTGTGCTTTGTGGCTGAGGAGGGGCCATCCAGGATCTGTTTTCAGGAACTATTTTCCTTGCAACAAAGCAAATTATACACATAGAGATATGAGCTCTCCTAGGATTAAACTGGGGAAGCTGAATACATGCTTGGATGATATTGCACAGATTTTCCATACCACAAAAAAGACATATGCTTGTAGTAATTAAAAAATATGTTGTTGCTACATTTTCAGGAAAAAAGTGCTCTACAGATTTTGCTTATTGTGAGTGATAAATATAAGATATATTTGGTCTCAGTGTACATGAAGTATTAAAACACAATATTGTGTTGCTCATATGAGCTGATATAGCAAACCATGTGTTGAAAGTGAAACAAATCTGCAGCTCTTTATATAGAAGAAAACTATTTGAATAGGAAAGAAAAAATTAATATCTGTTTGCTGAATTCAGACATGATCAGAGTAATATTTTTCTTTCTATTCCTGTAATAATTAAATGCATATTTTTCCTCCCTAGCTGTTACTGCATAACAGATTTTTTTTAACTATACAACAAAATAAATACCATATTATACTGATTTGTTAATCCCTGTTGAAAATGCTTACCTTATTTATATTAATATTCATTAAAATATAATAAGTTCAGGGCTTGTAAGGAAAAACACCCTTTCTTTCTGTCTAATTCAGATTAACTTTCCTTTCTTTTAGACTTTTTTATCCCATCACTTTCAACTTGCTGTATTTCTGCTTCTGTGGGAATGAAAAGATGTATTGAACTTGACATGTAAATGAAGCCACCTCATGGTGATGAATCAAACCATGTAGGTGGAGCTTCATCAGCAGGAGTGTGTAGGAGAAAGGCAGCACAAGCATGTCATCACTCAGCTCTGGATTTTTGGGGTTGTGTCCCAAACCATGACTGGCAATGCCCTCCTAGAGGGTCATATGGCAGAGGGTTTGGCCAGCAAAGAATTTGGACCCAAACCATCTTTCTGCAAGGTACAAATATTGTTAAACCTTGCTCTGGAGTGGGGGAAAAAAATTGGGACTTTCCCAAAACCTTGTGAGAGCAGAGGGATTTTATAGCAGTTATTCTTCTGCTGTGGATTCACAGGCAGTATTTTTTAAGTTTTCAGTTGAACTGCAGTTCCTAATTTGAGGGATCAGTGGTGTATTGTAGGAACAGGACTATGTCACTACCTGAGTGGAGTTTTGAAGACAAATGGTGATAAAAGATGACCAAGAACCAAGACATCAAAGTCATATAAATAATCAACTGGAATAAAATAATGGTGATAAACAACTAATGGTGATAAATAAACTATTTCAGCAGTGAATCCCATATTTTTCATCGTATCCACTAGTGACTCTCCACCTAAACTTGTCTAAATCTGGGGGATATAATAATTTTCTGGGAGTAAAAGGGAGATTAGCCCAAGAAAGACACTGAGACAAAAATCCCATCTAATGGATAAATGTTTTAGCCATGTAACTGTATAGAAGTGGGCAGCACCATCCCCTTTACAGAAACTGCCCCTCAGGCAAGCATCAAAGCATCTCAGGTCAGTGAAAGGAGGGGAGCAGGTTCCTGCCCCCAGGCAGGGATTCTGTGGGATGATCCCAAGCAGCCTGCAGGAGTGTGGGCTCAGTGGGGATGAAGCACACACATCTCTTTAATATTTCCCTCTGTGGGTTTTAGGATGAGTGCAGGACAACCCAGATACCCAATGCTGCACTTGAACTTCCTGAATCCAGCTGTAGGATAGGGGTGGGATAGTGGCAGGTAAGATTTGGGATGAGTATAAAAGACATTAGATATGAACCTGTATCTTCTCATATGTGCTCTCTCACACTGAGTGAATAAAACACAGCTTAATCCATAACAAAAGTGAGGCAAGCCAGTTCACATCTGCCAGCAGTCGGGTACCAGCAGTTCCTACAGAACAGCTGTTGTGCAGGAATTCCTCCCTGCTGTGCTTTGGTCATCTCACTCTCTCACACTGAAATCTTTAAAGCTTTTATGGAATCCACTTGTATTAGCTATTCCATTTTACTAAGAGAGAAAATATCCTGAGTACTTATTTTGAATATGAAGCAAAACTGTCCTGTTTTCATTTACAGAAAATTTGAGTCCTCTCAAATTATACTTTCAAGCAGATCTCACTAGTGAGGGGAATGAAGTGCTTCTTAAAAACAGTCAGATATCCAGCACTCTACTCTATTTATCACTGGGTCTCCATTTTATTGTTTAATTACAGCTTTTTAAAAATACAGTGTTCTTACAGGGAATATGTTCATTATTTAAAGAATTAATGAGTAAGTACTCATAGAAAAAATACAGGAAATACTGCTACATAAAATATTTTTACATTGGTTTTAATTTTACAAACTGTTAGTATCTTTTTGTTAACTATATTGATTGCCATTTATTTCCAAAAGTGCTTTTTACAGTGATCTATGTACTTCAGCTACATGCAAAAGCAATAATCACATATATATGTATGTATATTGCAGTCTGTATCCCTGCTTTTTACCCTATATAATAGGGTTTTGTTAGTTGATTTTTTCTTTACAGAACGAAGAATTATAATAAACATCATTCAGCAGACTGGTCTTATTTATTCACTGGAATTAGAAGAAAATATATTTAAAAAAAGAAATCTGTGTTTGCCTTTACTCTTAAAGATCAGGGTAGCAAGGAGCAGTTGATAGTCCTTTACAATATGCACAGTTTATTAAATTTAAACAAGTTATCTCTTTCCATTTCAAAGTTCTTCTGAGCTAATATGGTTCTCTTTTCTTTCCCCTCACTGTGTACTATCTTCACTATCAAATCATCTATGCTTTCTCTGTCACTTGTTAAAGTAATTTCTTACACTCATGTTCAGCCTCCCCCTACTTCTCTTTTGTCATTGTTCCTTAAGTTTTTATGTTAGGTTTTTTATTTTATTTTTTTTAGTTATGTCTGTCTAGAGATGTTAAACACTTGTTATTTAGTTCTTTTTCATATCTTTATGTAAAATTCTAAGTCCTTATCAATAATTTCTAAAATTCCTAGAAAATGGTTGATAGTGATACAAATATGCAAGACCCTGAAGGTTCAATCCTAGCCTTTGCTTCTCAAAACCAGCCACAGTAGATATTAAAATGCACAGCTAAAAAAGGATCAACGCTGTAGCAAAATATTAATTGTCACTGTACCAACACCCAAAAGCATGCATACATTTGTACTCTGACAATATCTGTGGTTCTTTTGGTCTATACAGACACAGACTCACACAAATTCATAAGGATCTCTGCAGAGACAATGTTGAGAGCTGCAGCTGAATTGCATTCACTTCAGGATTAGTGCAGACTTCTCTCCATGATTGTTTTGAACTTTATTTGTGCGTGGAAGTTGTCCAAAAAAGGAACAGAAAAATCACAGCCAGCTCACCCAGTGCTGCCAAATCTGCTGTAGTGGGGACCCCTAAAAATGGGCTGTCCCCCAGGGAGGGGACAGATGCAATGCAAAAGCATGGCTCCAACTTGTCTTCCAATTTTGCCTCACGTTAACAGAGAGCAAAGTGTCGATAACTATTTGAGTTCCAGGCAATGTGGTCAGACTCCATATTTGGTATTCCTCTACTTGCAGAAAGGCAGAAAGGAGCAAACCCCCTGGGACAGGCTCCCATTGTTCCCCAATGCCATTAGCAAGCTGTCCTGGCAGGGCAGTGACAAGTGTGCCATGGCTCTGCTTTAGGAAATCCAACCTGTTTTATATCAGCTCTCCTGTTTTTTGGGGGGAATCATGTGATTTAGGTAGAGCTAGAGCAAGCATAGCAGGCCCTTCTATCAAGTCCCAGAAAAATCACAAGCAGTTCATAGAAACTGTTCACTGAGCAATTTCAAATAATGAACACACAAAGTGTCAGCAGGGAGCTGCTCATGCATAATATGGGAACAGGAATAATTGTTCAGTGTGACTGAATAAATTGTTTACAGCACACAGTTTAGATAACTTTAATGGCAAACAATTTTACTCTGTCCTTATACCTCAGGATCATGTACCCTTTAGATAAACATCTATGTCAACCATCTGTTAAACTTTGAATACTTTGATTATTTTAGAAAAACGTTGGCTCCTGGCTCTAAGCTGGCCACAATCAGTTACTATGCTATTAGTCAGATAACTGGAAGCCCTGGGATGTGGTGTTTTATATCTTGGATTCAAACAAGAATTGTATTAACAGGAGACACCCTTCCTGCAGGTCTTGCATTGGAAGAATTGCCTGACTGTACATCAGAAAGTGTCTGTCAGAGGGCCTGAGGTAAACATGCACTGGAATGCACATACTCCTGTTAAATAAACCTCCAGAACACTAAAGAGCTGAGAGAGTATTTGTCATTCACAATCTCTTCCATACAAATTTCCTTCCAATAAAACATAATTCTTGAGGATGTTTTCAGGCAAATCACATATAAATAAAATTTCTGTGGAAAATGTGTGTGATTTTTCAGTTATACAGCACAAAATTTCAGCAGGTGGGATGGGATTTGCTGGTGTATTTCATCCCACTCCAGACAGTTGTCGAATACACCCAGGATGAATTGCTTTCTAAAGGAGCCCACTTACAGACCCTATGGAGGGAATTTAAAAGATTAGTTTAGAGTAGATGCTGAGTACGCTTCCTGAAACTATAAATGGAAACATTTCATAGATCTTGCCATTGTCTGAAAATAGCCCTGTCAGCCTGGCACATCTGGGATCCTGAATACAAAGCATTTGTTCTCTTTAGTGAAAACTTTGCCTAAAAAAGGCTGTGACATTGGGCTCTCATTTGGAAGAGGCACGGTGCTTGCAGTGTCACAAAAAGTTTCTTCCTCATCTGCTTAATAAAGTTTTCCTTTAAGTTTATCTAAACTAAACTGAGAGAAAGGAGGAGAAGGTTCAGGTCTCAGCTGTGGCTCTGAACTCCTGCCTGTCCTCTTCTGAGGTCCAACACCTTCCTGCATTATCAGCAGGATGACATTTTCCCTGGAATACAGAGGAAAAGGCAGGCACCAAGAGATTAAATACACTGTTGAGGATCACAAAGCTGGCTGCTGGAGATAAGGAACAAGACTGAGCAATTTGCAACACCCATGCGACATTTTCTACTGTGGACTATTATTGTGAAAATAACTGTATGATTGGAGAAAGTACTTAAGCTATCAAGAATCTAATAGCAGAAGAAACGGAAGAAGCTTACATCAATGAATAGCTAACAAAATGCATCAATTCAACACAAATCTCCAAAAATTGGTCTGTCTGTCCAAAGCAAATTCCTCATTCTGTGTAAATGCAAACAGTTTTTACTTCTTGCCTCTGCCAGATTATTTTGTATTTGCAGACTTCAAAGGACTTGCAGCTTGTTGACAAAGATAGGTTAAAGCAGTCTGTATAGTGGTTTAGCAGTAGGACATTAATTTAATTAAACCAGCCAACTCTCTTACAGTACATGAGACCTTATTTTAAGGGGATAAATTCTACTTAGTACTTTTTACTTAGAGAATGTTTGTTGTCTGTATAAGTGTAGGTAATATTATCTAATATTATCTGTGAAACTAAAGGCCAATAATCTATTTTATAAAATTAATTCCAGTGATTCTGTTAGAGAGTTTTTCTTCCATGCACAGGTGCACACCACAGCCCAAGACTAGAGTCTGTCAGAGCCATGTCCATGTGCTTCACCTGCTTATGGTGCTCCTGGAGAGAGAGGATAGAGGGGTATCTCTTTGCTCCTCTCCCATTTCCCTCTTCCTGCTGACTGCTGTACTGGTGGATGCCACCACGTCCATGTAATCTTGGTTTTTACTGCCCTGCTGCAGAGGGGAAATGGCATTTAATCATGAATAAGATCCCAAGAGACTAACTGCTATCAGGACAAAGCTCTACACTGTCACATGGCTGCAAATATTATTAGTTGCCAAGCTTTTCCAACAAACTTATTTTCCTTTTTTTCCTATTGGGCTAAGCACATGCTGTTTACCACCAAGGCTTCCCCCAAAATTAGAGAAGACCTAGAGAGAAATGAGAGAGGTACAAAGACTATAGAAGACACAACCAGTAGAACAAACTGTGTTTATCCAACACATAATATTCAGTAACATGCTAGAAAAGGCTTACACATCAGTTTGGATTGGGGTAGAAACTCTCTGACAGGCTGCTTTGTGCAGCTTTTGGAAGCTCCCTGGCTTTGCTCCAGCAAGCGTAGCTGAATCCTATCAATCTCAAGCACATGCTAGATGCTATCACTCATGACCATTCCTGTAGCCATGCTATCTGACTCGTCCTTCTACCCTTTTTCCAGCTCATTCACTCTGCATCACTCAGGAAAGAGAAGGTACATCCATAAAAATGGCTGGCCAGTCAGAGGAAATGTAGTGCCAAATCAAGTCACTCATAATTACTTCATAATATGTTTTTGAAAATCAGATCTTACACAAGGCAACAGGATTCATAAAACCCCTGTTCACATGGCACACAATCCTGAAGAGATCCTGGCCTCTTGTCCAAGGTGCAAAACCAAGAATAAGTGTGACAAAGGCAGGGTCTCCTCGGGCACATGTGATGTGTACGTGTATAAACTGTTCCTTCAAAAACAAGTTGGGATCCTGTATGCTTCCCAAAAATATTTAAGAATAATGTTGACCATATGCTCTTGGCTGCTGAAAACCCCATTTTGTATCTAGCTCATCAATGTATTGAAAGGATTTTTCTGCCTTGGCGGTCCTCATTTATCAGGTTTTGAGATGGGCTGGAATGCCTTTCACCACTGAATGCCCCTCCTCAGCCTCCTGGGGATGAAGGCACGCTCGGTGACTGCTATGCCCGCCCTGTCACACTGGTACAGGACACGGGCAGAGTCGGTGCCAACATGCGGGGACAGACACGTCCTGCTTTGGAATAATGCCGTTTCTGGGAGCTGCCACACGAGCAAACCTGGCGACATTCCTTAAACATCGCGCTAGTGATCAGGCAACCACAGCAGGTGCCGAGTTGAGAAGAAAACAGTTTTATAAAGGCTGTCGAGGCTCCTTAACACACCATGTAGGGGCAACGCTGCTTGCCCCAGGTTTGGGGGAGAATTCAGCTCTTCTAATTTTAACCACACAACAGCTGGGCAGGCTGCCCGGCCGCGGGGCTCTGGCTGCACCTCAGCG